CTGTATTTCCTTTCGCTCATGAACTTCGCTTGGCAGACGAGATTGGAAGACTGGAAGAGAACTGGAGAAGAACAGAAGCTAGAATGCGAGCCGAGATCTCTAGACGGGTTTGTTTGTTGAATCAAACTTACATTGTTTTATATTCGATGCTTCTTGACCTCCAGGTTCTTTCCCCAATCGGGATTCCAAACCCGGACGAGCAGCAGCAGCAACAACACTAAGGCTCCTGGTTTCTTCACAAAAGCCTGGTGAAGCTGCCAGAAAAATACATACAAACAAATCGGCGTTGTTACATGGACGCTATGTCCACTTGAATGCAACGGCGGAGTTATCTTCAAACTCTCGGGCACTTAAAAAATCTCTCGAGTCCTCCTGCGCTCCTGTCCCGCTCGTTCTAGCAGCGTTTTACTCTTTTGTCCCTGTGATCTCCCTCCACTGTTCCGTTCATAGCCTTCCTCTTGTCCGTCCCATTAAACTGATCAGCCAATTTCCCTCTCAACCGCGCGAGAGCGTCCTCCACAGTAGCCGGCCTCTTCTCCTTCCCAGGGAAAATTTTAAACTTCTGAGCCAATTTCCCCTTAAATCGCACCAAAAGGTCCTCCGTGTGACACACTATCCTGTGACCTCTTTCCGTCACCCTGTGCAAACACTCATTGAGTATATGTATCCTGTAATCCTCCATAGCCAAGGCCTTCCGGAGGTTCCTCCTCAAGAACACGGGACACCCCCGCCGCTGCTCCTCCTCCACATCCGCCAGTAGCCCCTCCACCCATTCCTGCTGCGCGTAGTACCCGATGAGCTCCCGGATCGTGTTGAGATCGCTGACACGGGAGAACTCGTCGGGAAAAAACCTCACGTTGATCGTCACCCTCCCGGGAGCGGTGTCCACAACCTCGAACTGGTAGATCCCCTCGTACGGTAGCAGCGCGAACTTGGCGTTGGCGAAGTAGCCGCCGTCGTCGATCTCGCCGCCCCGCCACCTCGCCGCCTCGATCTCGTGGAGCTGGATCGCCTGAACGGCCTTGGAATCGGGGTGGAGCTCGCGGATGTTCTTGCTGATCCTCGCCAGGAGCTCGTGGATTGTGTATACCCCGTGCCCGAGAGCACTCCTCCATTCTTCGCCGGAGCCGCGTTCTTGGAATGGATCCCTCCCGGGTGCCGAGGCGAGGAAATTCGCATAGAGTGGAAGCTTTCCCAGATCCGTGCATGTCGCCCTGGCCGAAGAGACGCGGTCGTGGAGCTTGGCGTACAGCCGAAGTAGCACGTAGAGCTCCTCCGGGCCGTAGAAGATCCGCGCGGCGCCGCCGGCGGCGCGGGGGGAGTCGTCCGTGCGGTACAGCGGCGTCCCGGCGTCCACCGGCGGTACCGGCGCCCCGAGGCCGAGGATATTCCCCAGGAAGTAGCTCCAGGCGCGGCACGGCGAGGACAGGCAGCCGTTGACCAGCGCGTTGACGTCTACGTTGACATTGTCGTCCGTGCGTATGTCGAGGGCAATGTCGGCCGGCAAGAGCGCCGACAAGAGGGAGTAGTGCGAGTGGGTCGCGGAGTTCCTGTCGTGTGCCTCGCGGATCTCGGCCACCAACGCGCTGTCGGCGGCGATGACCGGTACGTCCCCGTACGGCGCCGCGGGGTGACCGGTGTGTTCCCTGTACGCCGCGGCCCATTCCGTACGAACCTTTTCCCTGTTCTTGAGCATGGCATCCTTGGCATCCCGGAGCCGCGAGCAAACCTCCGCTGCTTCCTCCTTGCGCAGTAACTCGATCACCTGGGCCTTGCTCCACTGCAGCGCCATCGACAGTCGAGCCACCAGGAGATCCAAGTCCCTCTTCCTGCCGATTTTCGTCCTTGTTTCCGTGAGCCGCGCGATGAGATCGATCGCCCAGCCGAGGTGCCCGATCGCCATGTCGGTCTCGAATTGCTCGTCCTCGCAATCGAACAGCGCCTTCTCGTGCACCGTCTTGATGGTCGTGCGGCTCTCGATGGGCCGCTTGGCGAGGCCCAATGTAGTGTTGAGCACGCCGCCATCCCCTTTAGGGCTCTCCCGCTGCTCCAGAACCTTGTAGCTCGGCCCAAACCACTCCATCTCCAGCGGTTCTATCGCTTTCTCGCCCCCAGGCCAAAACTGCAGGAATTCCTCCCAGCAATGGGGGTGTGGAGCGAGGAGCAGTCGAATCCCCATCAAAGACTCCGTGCGGCAGTGGCGAAGATTCCGAAACAAAGTCATGAGATTGTCGAAAGTCGCCTTGGGGAGAAGATTTCGCGAACTATGGATGTAGTGACTCGCCTCCTTGTTCATGATCATCCTCCTCTGCGAGAGTGCAACCTAAAGGAATGCCTTGTGTATTAAAAAGGGCTAATTGTGCCACGTGGCATCTATTCGTTAGCACGCGTGGCGGGGATCTAGGGTTTTAGCAACTGGTGGCAATGGAAGCGAGCGCCGCGCGGGTAAGCGAGCTCCTTCGCGATTTCACCGGATCGATCGTGATTGCGTTCGTGATGCGCAGGGCGAGGCGCCGAATCTGGCGATGGCTGGAATGCGGTCGCCCGGGGGCCTCCGGGCGGTGTCGCGGCCGCTGGTAGATCGCGCTCCAATCGTCGTGCGGCGGAATTCATTTCGCGGTGCCACGGCATTCGTTTCTACGATTGGTGTCTTGCTGGTGTCGAAATTGTTCTTTAGATGGGCTTGGCAGTCGTTGCAAGTGGCAGCGTTTTGTCATTCGGCTATGACGCTTCTCGGTCGTAAGGTCAGTTGTAGTTCTTTCTTTCTTTGGTTTTGATCAAACTTGCCTTCTTTGGTTTGATCTTTGTAGTTCCGCGGCCATCCTCCACAGGAGGCGTTTCTGGGATATGTCGCTACTCCTGTAACGACACTTACGATTTCGAGACCGCTGATCCAGTGGATTTTTCCCGACCTGTATCGGACTGCTCGTTTTTGGAGGCGTTTGCTTCCTATATACACAAGGTTTGTTTACTGATTGACTTGAGCATTTGCCTGGTGTTTCTGATTATAAGTCATAGGTGTTTCTGTCCGGAAGGTATATGATCACAAAGCTGAACGCACGGAACAAGAGCCGAGACGAACGGGATAAGTTATGGGATAGACGGCACGAGTGGGGAGGGAAGATGGTCCACCAGCTTGTGCTGGATATGAGTGGATTTTATGTGAAGTCTGCTCAAATCCTTGCTTCTAAAGCTGTAAGTACGAGTGAGTCTTTGGTCTTTTGCACTAATCTGTCGTGTGTAGGAGTTTGTTCCAGGGCAATGGAGAAAATGGCTCTCGAAACACCTTGACGATGCGCCTCCAACGCCTTTCTCGCGGGTTAAAAAGAGTATCGAGAAGGAGCTTGCATTATGCCCGAAAGGCAAGGACATTGTCACCCCACTGGATGCACTTTTCTCAAATGTTGAGGAAGATCCGATTGCCGCAGCGTCGATTGCTCAGGTATATTACAACATTTTTTATTAAGGCTGATAGCTTTCAACAGGTTCATGGGGCCACGCTAATCGACGGAACACCGGTTGTAGTTAAAGTACAACATCTCGGAATGGATACTATAATGCATTCTGATCTACGAAATCTTGCAAGGGTATGCACTGTACTCTTGAAAGAATATCATCCGGAACTCCTGTTGCTGTAGGTGGCTCGTTTTCTAAAAGGACAGCTACCAGTCGATCTCACACCGGTATGTGGCTTTCGTGTTCTATCATTGTCAATCTTCTTGGTGTTTTCTAGATTGTGAAAGAAATCCAGGCGACAATACCTCTTGAATTTAACTTTGAACGAGAAGTCTGGTTCATGGTATACTCCTCATTTTCTGCGACTAATTATGTCTCTCATGTTCCTGCTCTTTTGCAGCTGCGTATTAAAAGTAGCCTTGAAACCCATGGATTTTCAAGGATTGTGTGTCCTTCGCCAATTGAAAATCTTTGCACGCAGCGACTTATAGTCATGGAGGTAAAAGCCCAAGAATTGTTTTTCGTTTTTAAATTTTTTTTTGTTCCTTTTTTACTTGCTTTTGACTCCAGAGGCTTCATGGAACACCATTTACCCACATTCTGCATCGTAATGCAGACGAGTCTTTGCAACCAAGGTACTGCTAAATTTTTTGGCATGATTTATGCATGTTTTTAAATCGTATTTCTAGAATACCAAAACTAAGAGACGTGGTAAAAAATCTCATAGAGGCTTACGGTCAGGTAAGCTACAAGCTCATGGTGAGTGGTGACTAAATTCTGGTGGTTCCTCAGATGATCCTTATAGATGGCATCTTCCATGCTGATCCGCATGCGGGAAACTTACTCTTATTAACAGATGGTCGGCTCGGTCTTCTGGATTTCGGCCAAGTAAATCATCTCGTTTTCTTTATACCTTCTAACTTGTTTTTTTGTTTTCCTTTCCAAGAGCAAGGTGCTTGGTGAAGAGTCACGAAAGCAATTTGCCAGAATGGTCATTTCACTGGCAAGTGACGACGCTGTAGCTGCCGCTCGGGTCCTTTGCGAAATGGGAATCGTTTTTGAGGATTCTTCTACGCCTTCAAAGGAAGTGAGCGTCGAAGTGCTCGTCATGATGGCCAGGATGCTCTTTGATACGTGCTACGTCGAAGAAGCAACGGTGTCACCCATGGCCGAAAACTCCATCCTACGGAAGGTCCCAATGCGTTCCTTCAATCAAGAGCTTTGGATGGTGAGCACTCAATCAATCGCTCTTTCTCTCCTTGACGCTTTTTTGTTGGTAACCCAAGGTTGTTCGTACGATCCTGATGCTCCGAGGCTTGCTCTTTTCGCTGGAAATGGATGAATCGGCAGTGGCAATTTGGAAACCATATGCGGACGTAGTTCTGAGCTAATTCTCTGAAACTCTGTTTTGTTTTGATGAAAATTAATATGAATAATGGGCACAGTTTTATTAACAGCGTGTTTATAAATAAACCACAAATATACTTTAAATTAACAAGTTATTTTAATACCTAATCAACTATAACCTTAGGGATTTGTGTTCGATGGGGTTGTGGGATACTCTGGCGCGGCTTCTGGGCCAAAAGCGAAAAGAGCATGATAAAGCAGAGGAAGCGCAAGAAGTATTAAAAGCGTCTAGATTGAAGGCAGCAAAAGCAGCTCTAGCAGCTCTAGCAGAGATTAGACAAGTCGAATCAGAGTATAAGATTTCGTTGGATAAGGCGAGTGGCAAGCGACCTGCCGACAAAATTGGTCCATCACCTTTTCGAAAGAAACCAAAACTTCTGGAGAATCCATTCACAGTCGAGGTATGTCCTTCCTTTTTCCGCAGTCTTGGTGAAGTCCTATCCTCCATTCTACAGAAGAGTAACTGCAACCGAAGGCTATTGGCCATTACCAATCCATTTCTAAAGATCAGAACCGCCTTACACTTGAAGGACATGCCCTCTGATAATGTGGTTGATGGACAGCTGATGAAAGAAGAAGCTCTTGATAAGGCCATTGATATCCTCTTGCGTCCGGTAATTACAACGAGAAAGCAGTACAAGGATAGACTTAATAAGATTGTGTACGCAAGTCTTCTCCAAAACATTAAACTGCTATGCACTGGGGATGTGGAAATCGTGGCTGGAGGCAAGAAGCTTGTGAACATAGAGCTATGGTAGTTTTTGTTTTTTTCTAATCCCTTCTCTCCAGGGGACCTTGAGCAAAAAAGTGATGAAATAAGGTATGGAAGGGATGAAGATGCTGGTGAGCTAGCGGGACTTGATCTATGCGACTTCGAGGTATTTCCACATCCCAAGTATATTAATCATGTTCATTTAGTTTCGTGTCTGGATCAGGGAAAAGTACACGATACAACACTGGGCCCTTTAGATAATTTGGTGACAGGGATAATAATCAAGTGTGATGGAAACGGCGATTCTAGGAAACTCGACCAAGGCTCGGCCTATGCCATCAAGGCTGCTATCCAGAATGCAAAGAGAGGAAGTTATACTCCAATTTACATTCACGATTGGACTAAAGAGAGTACGTCGATTATGTTGATATTATGCATGGTTGCTAACGTTTGTTTACCCATTTCCTTGCATTTGCCCAACGCGTAAAGAGTGGCGTTATGGTGTGTTAAAGTGTGAAGGCATAGTCTCTATCGTGCATAGCAAAATAAGCAAAGTTTGTTGTAAAGATCCTGTTGAAGGTTTGAGATTTGCAAAGATGGGACTTTCCTCACTTAACGTTTGTCTCTACAGGAAGATTCATACAGCACTTGAACTCCAAGCTACAGGAGTGTACTCATAACCTTCGACAACAATATTTTGCACCAAATATCTATCCAGATGGGGATTATCTCTTGGGTACACTTGATCTATGTGAGCAGGAGTTGAGTCTTCCTGTGAATATATCAAGAAATTTAGATGGAGGAGCTATTAGATTTTTCAACTCTATCATCCGAATTTTTACCGGTGATAAAGCTCTTCAGTATAGTAAACAGGATATCGAAGAGAATTGGGCGAGACGGACTTCTGAAGTAGAAGAGGAAATAAAAGCATGCACTTTCACAACAGATTTATATTACTCATGCATACAATCGGCAGGAAACATAAAAATGTGAAGTATTTTTTTCTTAAATAAAAGCCTGGTCACGCCATATTTCTAGGACTCAAGCGAAGACTGAGCGAGTAGGAGTGTTATAATCGAAATTTGTGGTCTCATGACACGTCCCTTACCTACAGAACTGGCATTTCAACCTCTACGTTCTATAGCTTTGAACAACTCAGGGCTTTTGCATCAGATTTTATTAGTTTTCGACTCTGGAAAGTTAGCGAGCTTAGAGTACGCTCAAATGGTTTTATGCTTCCCCTAGGTTTTTGAGCTTTTGACATACATTATTGAAACGTTATGCAACTTGACATGTTCAGATCATGTCTATGGTTTTGCTTAAATATGCTAGAAGTTCCCTCATTTCCAAGGAAGTAGGAGAAGGTGAGAATGCAATCTACAGTAATTTTTCTGCGCTTTGACTTTTCCTGCTGCAGTGCAGATGTTCGCATTGCTACTCGTCCTCGCTGCTTCTGCTGCTGCTGCTGCTGGGGCAGCATCTAAGCTTTCTGATGGCTCCAATCTCTGCTTTCCAGCAATGTTTGTGTTTGGAGATTCGTACCTGGATGTGGGCAACAAAGCCGCTCTGTATCCGCAAGTGTTTCAGCAACCCGTCCCTCCAGTGATCATCAGCAACGAGCTTCCGTACGGGCAGACATTCTTTGGCCACGCAACCGGACGCTTCTCCGACGGCCGGATGATCTCAGATTTCTTGGGTGATTGTCTCGAGTCCAATTTTTACTCTGAAATTTTCATTTTGCTAACCAAACTGTTTAATGGTTTCAGCTGAAGCTCTTGGATTTGAGGATTTCCCTGGTGCTTACTTTCAGCCACTCGCTTCCAGCTTCCGGTATGGTGCAAACTTTGCTCTTGGTGGAGGAACGGCTATCGAGCATAGTTTCTACGAATCTCGCAATGTCACCACCGTAGTTCCTTACTCGCTGCTCGATGAGCTCGGCTGGTTTCTAAGATTTAAGAAGCTGGCTAGGCAGCAGAGACAACACAAGCTGGTGAGTTGGGAGGGGTAAAACTTAGAATTTGATATTTTTTCTCTTTTGTTTTCTAGGCAGTGACTGCGTTCTCCAAGGGACTCTACGTAATAGGCGAGATTGGAAGCAACGATTACACAGTCGGGCTCTTTAAGGGAGGCATGAGTCCTGACGTGCTGAACTGTACGCTGTTGCCACTTGTGAGAGGATCCATAAAGCATTTCTTTGAGGTGAAACAAATTTTCTTTTGCTTTTAATTGTAAAAGCTTAGTTCCTGGTGGACATTTTTTCTACCAGGAGTTGCATGGATCCGGGGCGAGAAACTTTCTGTTCATTGGGATGCCTCCGGCAGTGGATAATCCAGCCTACAGATCGTTTGGAAATTTTGTTAACAGGGAGAAGCTCTACAACCTGACTGCTGCGCACAATGCCATGCTGAGAAAACTGGTCAAAGATCTGAAAGCCAAATACACTGATAGCTTTCTTGCATTTGCGGACTTCGAAGGAATCCACAAAGACGTCATGAACAATCCTGGAAAACACGGTAATTAAGCTTTTCGATCGTGATGTCAATAAATTCTTGTAAAACTCGCAGGATTCACTGATACGAGTTCAGCTTGCTGTGGCGCCGAGGGGCCCTTCAACTTCAACATCAGCATTGGATGCGGGCAGCCAGGCTACACTTTGTGCACAACTCCGGCCCAGTTCGTTTTCTGGGATTTCAGCCACTACACGGAAAAGTTTGCGCAGGTTGCGACCAACGCGTTTGTGTCTGGGAAGTATTTGCATCCGCCAGATGCATTCACTCGAAAATGCGGTGGCAAGCTCAAAAATCTCATATGATTGATCTTAATATATTTCGTGTTGTTTGTCATCCCAACTAATCAATTGATCTTCAGTAGCTTGTTTTGAATTATGTTATAACTTCGAAACTAATCTCACAAGTGAAACCTTCTCGACCTCATGAATGTCCAGTGGTTGCTCTCGTGGCCTAATGGACAAGGCATTTGACTTCTAATCAAGGGATTGTGGGTTCGAGTCCCACCGAGAGTGCATTTTTTTTCTTACTTTTTCTAGCTTTGTAAAAATCAATGAAAATTAATCCTGTTCGCACGGAACCTCATAAATCATGATTTTGAAAGCAATGAAAGATGCGGCCTTCCTCAAAAAATAGAAAGAAAAACAAACAAGGGGGCGAGAAAGAGAGGGCCACTCTTTTTCTTTTTCCTCCATCGATACTGTACGAGCTACGGGTCTAGGGTTCCTCCTCGAGCACTCGCGAGAGAGGGGGATTTTTGTGATCGCGCGCGACGGCAATGGGATCCTTCTGGAACTACGTTGTCCAGCTTCACACATTGGCCGGGTAGACTCTCTCACACATTTGCTATTGGAATCTCAATCTCTGTTTGAGCTCTGAGCTAACCGCGCGCTCTGTGTTCTTCAGGCCTCTGATGATGCTTCTATATCCTCTGTGAGTAGCAGCGCCATGATCGATCGATCGGTTTTGTTTTGTTTCTTCGTTAGATTGGAGGCTAATCCATGTTTCAGGTATGCATCCATTCAAGCCGTGGAGAGCCCCAACAAGGAAGACGATGTCCAGTGGCTCACTTACTGGGTTCTTTACTCCTTTGTTACGCTCCTCGAGCTTGCATTGGGAACCGTTCTGGCCTGGTAATCCGTGCTCGCTCGATCCTCTCAAAACATTTTCTTTTGCTTTCGATGCTGGGTTCTCAAAACCTCTCTTTGGTTTTCTCACTCTGTGATAGGATTCCCATCTGGCCGACTCTCAAGCTCGTCGCTGCGTGCTGGCTTGTTCTTCCGCAGTTTAAGGGCGCCGCCTACGTCTACGAGCACTTCGTCAAGGACCACCCTCTGAAAAACCAGCTGATAAGCAAGCCAGCCGCAACCTCACCGTCGGTGCACAGCAAGAAGTTTGAGAGCCTCGGCGTGGACTCGAGAAACCTGGCGTCCAAGTACGTGCTCGAGAATGGAGAGGACGCTTTCGAGAAGCTCCTTCGCGGCGTAAGTTCTTCGTGCTTCCTGATAAAATCTTATTCACTTGTTTTACCCGTTGCTTTTCAGGCGCTCAAGGATGCAAAGCATAGAGGCCCAGTCTATGACTACTAGTACAAGCTGAGCTCTTGCCGAATCCATCGCTGCGTAACTACAAACTTACCAGGTTCCGAAGCTATTTAACTTCTTTCAGTTCATGTTTGTCTCGCCTCTGGCAAAATAGAGATCCGAAAGTATCACGTAGTTTGCAGCATTCTCCGGATCCATTCTAAGTGCCTGCTCCGCCACGCGAGCTCCCCGGCCAATGTCACCGTGTAACTTACACGCCCCGAGCAAAGTTTCCCACGAGATCTTGTCTGCGGGGAATGGCATGCCAGTGATCATCCGCTCGGCTTCCTCCAGCCGCCCCGCCCGTCCCAGCAGGTCGATCATGCAGCCGTAGTGCTCGCCACTGGGAGCAATCCCGTAGACCTTGTCCATGAGCGCGAAGAAGTACTTGCCTTCGTCCACCAGCCCGGCATGGCTGCAGGCGTTGAGCACGGTCGTGAAAGTCACGTCGTTCGGGAGCGTCCGCGACGACTCCACCATCTCTCTGAAGAGCTCCACGGCCTTCTCGCCGTGCCCGTTTCGTGCGTAAGCTCCGACCATGGCCGTCCAGCAGAAGACGCTCTTGTCGGAGATGCCGTCGAAGGCGAGCTTGGCTTCGTCCACTCGGCCGCACTTGGCGTACATGTTGACGGTGGCTGTGCCGAGAACAACATCCAAGCCCGAGGAGCTCCGAGTGCTGAGGATTCGACGGTGGACTCTCCGGCCTTCCGCGAGAGCTCCCAGGCAAGCACAGGCTCCAAGGACCGCGGCGTGCGTCACGTCGTCGGGTCTCAAGCCTTCCAGGTCCATTTCCTTGTAGAGCCGCAGCGCGTCGTGGTTATGCCCGTGCTGGGCATAGGCCGCGAGCATGGCCGTCCAGCAGATCGCATTCCTGTTTTTCCTGCTGCGAAATGCGTCTCTGGCTTCCTCCAAGCTCCCTGCGCGGCTATACATGTTGACAAGCGCGCTGGCCGAGAAGTCGGATTGGATGCCACTGGAACTCAGCCGGGCATGGATCTTTCTCCCTTCCTCCAGTGCTTTGAGGTTGGAGCAGGCACCGAGTGCGTTGACGAGTGTCATCTCCTCTGCCTTGGCACCCTCCAGATCCATCCTTCTAAGCAGCTGGAGAGCTTCAAGATCGTAGCTATGGTTGGCGTATGCGGCTATCATCGACGTCCAGGAGACAACGTTGGGCCGCTCGAGTTTGTCGAAGACGTTCCTGGCTTCGGTGACGCTGCCACACCGTGAGTACATGTTGAGAAGACAAGTTCCCACGATGTGATCGCTCTCCAGTCCCTGTGAGGCTACTCTCTCGTGGACACTCCGACCGTGATCCAGGTCCCCGAGAAGAGAGCAAGCGTCTACCACCACCACGAAGGTGATAGCGTTTGGAGAGACGTCCGAGAGCCTCGTCAGGTCCTCGTAAAGTTGGAGACACTGCCGGTGATACCCACGCTGGGCATAAGCGGTAAGCATCGCGTTCCAGGACACCACAGTCTTGAGTTCCATCCCGTTGAAAACCTGTACTGCCAGTTCCGGATAGCCGCATCTCCCATACATGCTGATCACTGCCGTGGCCGCGAAGACGTGAGCTCTCAAATCTTCCAGCTTTGAAATCCGGTCATGGAGTGCCTTGCCAACTAGGACGAGCTCGGGATGCGAGCAGGCTCCCAACATCTCGATGAGGACGACTCTGTCAGGGCTGATCCCTTCCTGGTCCATGTTCCACAGGAGCTTGAGAGCTCTCAAGCCTTGTCCATTTTGGACGCAAGCCGATATCATGATGCTCCATGAGTAGAGGTTCTTGACGTGGATGCTGTCGAAGACGGAGCTGGCCTCACCAATGCTGCCACATTCTCCATACATCCTCACCAGCAGGTTGCACAGGAATCTGTCGTGGTTGCAGCCCGCTTCCACAATTCTGGCGTGAGTTTGTCTCCCTTTGGCCAGGTCCTGCGCTCTGGAGCATTCTTGCAACGCAGCTGCGTAGGAGTCTATCTCTGCTCTCGGGGCGAATGCATTGACGGGATAAATTTCCGAAGCTCGGATCATGAAAATGGTCTTGAGGCCTGCAAAGTTGAGGAGGAATGTTAAGAGAGAACCAGAATAAAGAGCAATACCAAAGTAAAACCATACCCGTCTTAAGAATTCTCCTCGGTTCTTCTATCCTCGCTCTCGTAGATGTTCGCCATCATCGTGTAGGCAGCAGCGTTGTTGTCACCCAGTCTTACAGCAGACTCGAAGGCTATCTTCCCAACTTTCTCGTTCTTCCACTTCTCACAGGCTGCAAGCAAAGTTCTCCATGCTGCTACATCCGGCTCCATGGGCATACTTCTTAACAGTGCCAGTGCCTGCTCTAGCTGGTTCGATCGTCCGAGGAGATCAACCATGCAGACGTAATGCTCGTAGCCGGGGCTTAAACCAAACTGCGAGCTCATTGCTTGGAAATATTTGTTTCCTTTGTCCACCAGACCCGAGTGAGCGCACGTAGAAAGAATGCACAGAAGTGTTGCATTGTCGGGTCGAAGGCCTTCGTCTTGCGACGCAGCAAAGAGCTCAAAGACTAGGTGGCTGTCTCCCTGGCGGCTGTAGCCTCCCATGAGAGCATTCCACCTGATGACGTCTCTAGTAGCTAGAGACGATTCAAAGACCAACTGTGCGGCAAACATGCTCCCGGATTTGCCATAGGCGTCCATCAGAGAAGCCTGTAAAATTGTTTCGCTCTCGAAGCCGAGCTTGCAGATCTGCGCATGAACGAACTTCCCCGCCTCCAGAGTTGAGCCACTAGCACAGGCCGCCTTGAGAGCAGCGGCACAAGTCAATACATTTGGAGCACAACTTCTATCAAATATCATACCTGTGAAGAGCTGTAGAGCCAAGTGACCGTTCCCATTCTCGGCGTAGCCAAGAATCATGGCATTCCATGAGACGACGGTGTGACAAGGCATCGCCTGGAAGACCCTGTGCGCGTCCCACAAGCTTCCCGAGCTTGCGTACATATCCACGAGCGTGTTCATGACAAAGTTGTTCGATGAAGGAAGGTCCGACTTCAAAGCTTGAGAATGAACCGCCATGCCTTTCTCCAACGATTCTATCTTTAAAAACTCGTCGCCAACTTGAGTCCAATCTTCGCCCAGCGTCAGGCAGGTGCAAGCCTTGAGAGCAGCAACAAAAGTTTGCGAGTTTGGAGCAAAGCCTTCTTTCTGCATCCGGCAAAACACCTCCAAAGCAACGCTTGGCTCCCCGTTGTTTACGTATCCCAGAACCAAGGCACTCCAGGAAACCACGCTCCGGCAAGGCATCCTCTCAAACGCAGCTCTAGCATCCTCCATGCTCCCACAGTTTGCGTACATGTCTACCAGTGTGTTGGAGACGAAGATGTTTAGATCACTCTTCTCCGCCATAGCTCTTGAGTGGAGAGCCATGCCTTTCTCCAGAGCTTTAGCTTTCACCATCTTTTTTTTCTCCACCTCCTGTCTTTGCTGTTCCACCGTTTTCTTCTTTTCCATGTCGACTACCATCTCAAGTCCCTGTTCTTGCTCCGCCAAGCTGCTACAGGCCTTCAATCCCGCCACGAATGTCCGAGGATTTGGCGGGCATCTCTCGAGCAGCATTCGCGAGAAAATCTCCAAGGCCGAGTTTCCATTCCCATTCTCGGCATACCCAAGGATCAGCGACGTCCAAGTCACCACGTCGTGAGCTACCATGTCGTCGAAAGCCCTGTGAGCGTCCACCATGCTCCCACACTTCGAGTACATGTAGAGCAAAGAGCTCGCCAGGAAAATATTGGATTCCAGCCCGCTGTTACGAGCAGCGGCGTGGATTGCTCTGCCGCGCTCTAAATCCCTCTCACGGCTGCATTGCTTGAGTGAATCCACGAGCAGGCATACCTTTCTCTTGATTCTCTGGTGCTGCGCCTCATCAATCTCACGGAATCCAGCGCCGCCGCTCCGGGAGTCAATCCGCCGCCAGCATTTCCCCTGGAGATCCATCTCCGGCGATCAAAGACGAAGAAACTCGCGCTCATCGCTCTCGCAAGAACCCTAAAACCTGGTCAGTGATTGTACTGACGTGGCAAACCTTGAAACAATCTGCACCGTTCATTTTGAAAGCCCCGCCGTTGGATCTTTTCCCGCCACATCAGCCAGCGCTTCAAGCCCTACGAAGGGACGCATCAAACTTGAGCTCCTTGGACGCGCCTCTCTAGGGTTCTTCGCTGCGCGCCAATGCCATTACCGCTGTGATCCCCGCGGAGAGCGATGCAGGTGAGGGATCTTGATGCTGATTTCACATGAAAAAGCGGACTAGCAAGCTGTTCTCGCCGACCGGGAGGAAGCTCAGCGCAGTTCTCGGAGGAGGATCGACATCGCCAGCAGCCGCCGCCGCCGATAATCCGTCGTCCCCAACAGTCGCCGCATCGTCGCTCCTAGCTCCTCAGCCTTCGCCCAGTCAGGGCTCTTCTTCTCCAGCAGCAGGATCTTCTCCATCGGCATCCTACAACATGACAGGGCCTCCCAGCAACGATCCCAAGGGCACGCTCGGCAAGCATCTCGCCCGGCGCCTGGTCGAGGTCGGGGTGAGGGACGTGTTCTCGGTCCCCGGGGATTTCAATCTCATCCTCCTCGACTATCTCATAGCCGACCCGGGGCTCAACGTGGTTGGGTGCTGCAACGAGCTCAATGCTGGCTATGCCGCGGATGGCTACGCCCGGATCAATGGCGTGGGCTGCTGCGTCGTCACCTTCACCGTTGGTGGCCTCAGCGTGATCAACGCCATCGCGGGAGCCTACAGCGAGAATCTGCCAGTGATATGTGTCGTCGGCGGCCCCAACTCCAACGATTTCGGGACCAACCGGATTCTCCACCACACCATTGGTATTCCGGATTTTAGCCAGGAGTTTCGATGCTTCCAGCAAGTGACTTGCGCACAGGTACGTACGTGTTCTTCCTGTAGTTCGTCTTAGTTGCTAAGACGTATAACGTTTTTTGTCTCTTGTTTTTTCCAGGCTGTAGTTCAACACATTGACGATGCACACGAACTCATCGACTACGCCATCGCCACTGCTCTCAAAGAAAGCAAGCCAGTTTATATCAGCATAAGTTGTAACCTTCCAGCCATTCCACACGCGTCCTTCAACAGGGAGCCTGTTCCCTACGCACTACACAAGAGGTGCTTTTTACTTTCATTGCGAGCTGTTGACACGTTTGATGTTTTGCTTGTCTAGCATTTGGCTGCTTCCTTGTTTTCTGATGCTTTTATGAACTCCGACAAGGTTGCATTTCTTGCTTGTGGATGTTTTAGTTCTTGTGATATTTTTTATTGCAAAAAAAGCTCCAGTTCTTTTTTACTGAGAGAGCTACATTTTACAGGCAAAGCAATCCCGCGAGTTTGGAGGCAGCTATAGAGGCAACGGCCGAGGTTCTAAACGCAGCAGTTAAGCCAGTTCTTGTCGGAGGTCCTAAGCTGCGAGTAGCCAAAGCCGGAGCAGCATTTGAGGAGCTTGCGAATGCCTCCGGCTACGCGTTGGCTTCGATGCCTTCCGCCAAAGGCCAGGTCTCAGAGACCCACGAGCATTACATTGGAACTTACTGGGGGGCCGTCAGCACTCCTTTCTGCTTGGAAATCGTGGAGTCGGCCGACTGCTACTTATTTGCAGGGCCAATCTTCAATGACTACAGCTCAGTCGGGTATTCGCTTCTCTTCAAAAAGGAAAAGGCCGTGATTGTGCAGCCGGACCGGGTCACAATTGCAAACGGTGTCGCGTTTGGCTGCTGCTTGATGAAGGACTTCCTTGAAGGCCTGGCAAAGAAAGTAAAGAGGAACACAACGGCTTTTGACAACTTCAAGCGGATCTACATTCCTGGGGGGATCGTTCCGAAAGCCATTCCTGGCGAACCACTCAGAGTTAACGTGCTCTTCAAGCACATCCAGGCAAACAACCAACCATCCTCTTTTAAAAACATCACCAACAAGGACCTTATGAGTAAGGCTGGTTTGTTCGATCCTCTGTCTGACCGTTGTAGTCTTGGTTCCAGGACATGCTTAACGAGAACACAGCCGTGATTGCCGAGACCGGAGACTCGTGGTTTAACTGCCAGAAATTGAAGCTTCCACAGGGATGTGGGTAAGTGAAACTTCGAGAATGTTTTAGCTTTCTCGTAGAGTACTAACTGCTGGCATCACACAGCTACGAGTTTCAAATGCAATATGGATCGATAGGCTGGTCAGTGGGTGCGACTTTGGGATACGCGCAAGCTGTTCCCAACAAGCGTGTCATTGCGTGCATTGGTGATGGAAGTTTCCAGGTAAGAAAAGAGTGCGCTTTGTTCGTCTTTTGAAAAGAGCAAAAAATACTATTGTGTGGCTTTCTACACAGGTGACAGCGCAGGACGTTTCAACCATGATCAGGCAAGAGCAAAAGAGCATCATCTTCCTCATTAACAACGGAGGATACACCATCGAAGTCGAAATCCACGACGGGCCGTACAACGTGATCAAGAACTGGAACTACACCGGCCTGGTAGACGCCATCCACAATGGCGAAGGAAAATCCTGGACGTGCAAGGTAATCACAGAGGTTTCTTTATATTTATTTCTCGTCTCACGATTGTGTCGATCAGGTGAAAACCGAAGAGGATCTCCTGGAAGCAATCAAGCAGGCCACCGGCGACAAGAAAGACTGCTTTTGCTTCATCGAATGCATTTGTCACAAGGACGACACGAGCAGAGAGCTCCTCGAGTGGGGGTCCCGAGTGTCCGCAGCAAATGGAAGGGCACCAAATCCACAATAAGGTTCACGAGGTTGGAATGAGAATGAAATTTTTCGCAAGTGTTTACGCTCACAAGCGAAGAGCAAATTTCTTTGTTCTTGAACCAAACAGATGCAGATGATACTTGGGTGCTCCAGTTATGTAAAATCTGGCTTTGATCCAATGGGAGATACAAAACTTTTATAAGCAACAAGCAAGGACTCTAAGGAAACCTGAAGAATACGTTAAGACAATGTACACCCACAGCCAAAGCTAGACTTTTCCTTCTCAATATCTCTCTTGGGATTCTTGCTTCGGAGATGGAAGTGGTTTCTTCTCGTTCTTCTGCGCCTGCAAGAAAGGAACATCACAAACAAAAAGCAAAGCTTTAGATCCTCGAAAGAAGAAAAAAAAGAAAAGAAAACTCACAGCCTCGGAAAGTAGCTTGTCCAGCGCATCCAATCCATTCTCGTGAATAAATCTCTCCACCGATGACCTCGTCTGGGGATCCAAGACATCGCCGACCTTCTCCTTGATCGCACCACTGTTGTTAACCACGTACTTGCGGACGAGCTGGTTGTAGACAAAGCTCGCGCCTTTAAACTGTGGAAGAACAAGCCAGCAGAGAAGCGCGAGCTTCACAGGGTACCACAAAGGAAACCTGACCACAAAAAAAATAAAAATCTAAGAGACCGAGAAGAAAAAAAAAAAGAGGGACTTTACCAGGCCAGCGCTGGAGCAGCGGCAATCTCAAGCAGCGTCATCAAAGAATACAAGATCCAGTATGTTAGCCACTGCTCGTCGTCTTCCTTGAGTGGACTCTCGATCGCCTTGACAGACGCGAGCCTGGGGAGAGATTACATGCAGACTCAGCCACGAATCGAGAGAAAAAAAGAGAGAGCGCTTACATCGGGTAGAGAACGGAGATGACCGGCCTGGATGGAAGAAATTGGGGAAAAACAAGCCAAAAGGAGTGAGATTTCCGCCCTTGAATCGATTGCGAGAGAGCTTACCCAGCGAAGGCGTGAAGCCTGGTGATCACAGCCCAGATCGCGCCCATGATTCCCTATCGATCAATTTTAGTCGCGGAAAAACCCCAAAGCCTCACAACGCACCGCAAATAAAAGCAGAGAAATGTGCTGCGATGACACGGCCTATAAACAGCGTGACATCTGGCCGCATACGTGGCCGGCTGATACTGGCGCCGACCAATTTCTAGGGTTCTTGGGAGATTCTAGGGTTTTATCGTTTTTAGGGTACTCAGAGGAAGGAGAAGTCGTTTGTTTTGCGCCATTCATAGTGTTACCCACTGATCACGGCGTGCCCATCCAGAGCGATTCTCATCATCGTACCAATCCTGACAAATTTCGAGCTGTCGTTGCCATCCGACACAGGCTTGGGGTAAAATCGATCCAATGCCTGCTATAACAGCAACAATTCTCTCTCCAAGGGGCGACTAAGGCGCGGCGAAAATCAAGACCTCGCCGCCCTACTCTCTAGCCCCTTGATCACGATCACACTGGCCATCAGGGTGTGTAACAACAGAAAACAGCGTCACAGAAAAGCAATCTCCGCCATTTCGAAAGAATCATCATCATCGGCCACAAGAAATAGAAAGCGCGGCCAATCGCCAAGAAGAATCTAGGAAACACGGTAACTGGGAGTGCTCAGGAATCGCACGCAGCCAAATTTGTTCCCGGGGATTATCGCTACAGCCACAACGCCGTGGCGGAGGCGATAGAGAATCTAAAGAGCCCTAGCCGCCCAGTACAATGTAGCTAGAACCCTAATCCATCAACACAGGATTTTATTCCCACCAGGTAAAAATCTTAGCCGTCCCTTGAATAACAGCCAATCTCGGCCGTCCGTTCGTGGCTTACTACAATCTGGCCTTGCGACTCGTGAGAAACTCTTGCTGGAGAATGGGCCGGATGTACTCTTCGTAGCCATCCGTGACCACCGTTTTGTTGAGTGGCTCCTCCCACGCATCTTTGTAGAGGTTTGGATACACATCTCCGTCGTAGCGACCAAGGATTGATCCCAGGTAGTGGTCAGTATGACCAAACGCGTCGACTAGAGCCACGGCGTTTGGCCGCACCTGGACGAACACAGAAGGATGGTGAAGATGGCTTCCAAAAAGGATCGAGTTTGTGGCGTTACCTCCGTGTATAAGTTCTGGAGCTGCTGTTTTGCCAGCGCTACTTGCGTTGGAGTCAAGCATCCCGTGGAGAGAAAGTCTCCAGCTCGGGACACGAGTAGGAAGAGGCCGTAAACTTCGCAGAGGATATCGAGCTGACGTTGGACGCCACGGCCAGGGACTCCTCGCTGCAATCTCTCCACGAATCTGGGCGCGAGGAAAATAAGCTGTAGCAAAGCAGAAAAAACTGGAAGGAGCGACTTACTTTGAGAGAACCATGAGCTCGCAATGAGCGCGAGCTGCTTCGATCAGTTCAATCGAATGCTGCTCAAATCCTGTGAAGCAGAACCATAAACATATACTATTTTAGCAAAACAAGCTTTCTTTACCTGCTTCGTTTCCAGCTTTTTGAACAAGTTGAGTAGCAACTAAAGCCAAGCGGGCTGCCCTGGCTTCGAAGGCGTAGAGAAGGTTTGAGTGGTCAAGCCAGTCCGTTCCTATAAAGTTCCAAGCAACTTTAGCAACAGAAAACACTGAGGGACGAAATGGCATACCTTGAGAAACCCGAGATCCCTGCTTCGTCAGAACGGGTAAATTTCCCAAGTAAGAAGCTGTTCCAACGGGCTTGACTCCACCTCCAAGTTGGGACAATGTTTTTAATAGAAACCTTGCAACCTGTCTCAAAACTTAGATACGCAACATGAAGACACTGTATGAAGATTTACCTGAAGAAGAAGAACGACATTGTCTCCCTCGTAGGTGCATGCAGGAACATATGCAGCATACAATTCTGGAAGACCACTGGAGCAGAGGTATCCATGCCCACCACACAACTTCCTGCATTCTTCAATTCCGTCCTGCAGAAGAACAAACAGTGACCTTAGAGAATGCCAAAAGATACGTTTTTTCAGACTTACTGCAGCAACTGACGTAGTGAGGGACTTCAATCCTGATGTACACGCGTGCACTTCTGGCAAGGTTGAAAAATCGTGGCTTTCCAATCTATTCATGACGTCCGAATAAAGCCATTTCAGCCACTGCCCGACAATACGATAAGCATATGTTGTTGCTAGCAACGGGAAAAGCCTATGTTGTTGAGTCTTATAGTCAATAACCTGTTGCGACAGAGTAAAATCCAAATCAAAATATGGAAAGAACTTGCCTGCGTCTCAGGATCATTTCCTTGACCACCGAACTGTCGACGAACGCAGCTGTATCTTACAGCTATCGTTACAGCGCGAGAAAGATATACGGACGCATCAGACACTATGCTCTGTCTAACATAAACCATTGCTCCGTAAGCGAGCTGCTTTGGGACATCCGAGGAGATATACTTTCCCTCTTTCGTAACTTTAGCAAGTCTGAAAGAAAATAAACATTAGAAAAGTCGAAGAACACATTCTAACATATCTTACTTCATTAGCATGTTATTTCGAGGTATGCGAACTTGATCAAAACGCAAAAGCCCATTGTCCATGGTGTTGTAACCAGCATTTCCAAACTTTACACCAATATCAGCAACAGTAACTCCAGGCAAAGGCTTATGATCATCCAAACTTCTAATCTGGACAATGAAGGCTGGAAACACGACGTTAAGCACTTAAGAGAAACCAAAACAAACTATACCGTGGATCCCGTAGTCGTGATTGTCGGTGATCAGTCGAGCATACACTAGAGCGTGTGTAGAGGCTTTGCCTAGACCACCAGGCCACCACTGAAAACAGCTTTATTAGAAAATGCTCGTTGCAAAGATTTGTTTACCTTTGTAGAAGTCAGGTTTGGGCTGTTCATCACAAACTCGTCGGTCGCAGGATCAAAAGTGGCAGTAGTTTCAAGGCCTTGGACATTAGATCCATGACCAAGCTCCGTCTGTGCGTAGCATCCGATCACAGCCATTTTGTAGGCAAGAGGAAGCCAGTATTTTTGCTGCTCGTCGGTTGCCTGACCTTTGATGGCTGGAACAAACATTCCCTACAAATAAAACTTATTAGCTCCATTCCAAAGATACCAGTTACGCGCTCACCCAATGCAAATCTGTAAAAGTCGGCTCGTCCACAAGAGATCTCAGCTTAAACGCTTCCTCCTCTGTTCAATGCAATCGAGAAAGTGAGAAAAAAAAAAATGGAGAAGGAAAACAAGCATCTTACCTGTTAGTTTCAGTTGCTGGATCAGCTTCCAGCCATGGGACGCTTTACGGAGACTGTTTTTGTAGAGTTCTTCTCGACTTAGCCTCGTTCGATTTGCTTTGCTGAACACCTGAGAAAGGAAACGAACAAATAAAAATTGCACCAGGAAGAAAAGCAAGGCGAACGATTTCGCTTACCGGATCCCTGGCGACAATAGCAGCAACACGCTGCGCCACGTCCAATTCGTGCTCTCCGCCCGCCAGTAGCACCTTCATTGGCTGCAAATCGAACTGCGCCTTTTGCCGCTCGCCCGACAGGTGATCGATGCGCCCAGCTTCCTCCATCTCCAGCTGAAATTTCGCGACAACGCGATCGAATCTAAGCTGCTGCGTACCTTGCAGCGTCAGAACCCTAATAGCGAACGCACCCAAGGCTCGTTAAAAACGTGGCGGTCGAAGAGCGCGTAAACGTTTTTATTTTTTGGTCGCGATTCCGTGAGCCCAAATAGAAACTCGGCAATAAAAGGAGTATGTCAGCGTTATCGCAATTTCAAATAATCAAAGGATATGCTCAATTAGTGTAAGCATATTCGCGAGATTCCTTGATTCCTTTCCAAGAACCCTAAGTTCTTTCCAATGGCGCTAGCGATGGCGAGGATTGCTCACGGCGGCGCAGCTGCGATTGTGCTGGCTGCGAATCGACCGGGCATGATAGGTCTGCTGCGAATGCGCGGATTGGGATCGAGCAGCTGCCTGGGTGGCGGCAGCAGCAGGGGATTTTTGCGCTCGGCACTTCAAAAGCCCCGATCGCGGGACAGGGCGGGCGAGGCGGCGTGGCGGAGGTTTTGCGTCAGAGCGGCGGATGTCTCCGGCCCCGGATCTGTAGATTCCTTGATCGCTGGGATGCAATCCAAGGTGGGCGATTCGATTGAGTGATTTGAGTGATTGGATTCTCTTACTTTTTCTATGGTCAGATTCAAGAGCAGCTAAACGCACAAGAGGTGACCGTCAAGGACGCGTATGGAGATGGGCGACATGTCAGGTACTGTTCTTCCCTCTTTCTTTTTTCCTTGTGGAAGTTCGTAGACGCATTTTCTTCTCCTTTTCTCTGTTGCTTGGGGAATCTCCATCATCTTCTTCTGGAATTCCATTCCTCCATGTCTTTGGTGGTTGATACTTCGATTGAAATCATCACTTTGGATTGCATCCCATCCCACAGTGACAAATTCTTTCTTTCTTTTTCTTTCTTTCCACAGCATCGAGGTTGTGGCCGAAGTTTTCGAGGGCCAATCCCAAGTAAACAGGCAAAGAATGGTATACAAGGCCATCTGGGAAGAGCTCCAGAACGCCGTTCACGCCGTGGACCAGCTCAAGACCAAAACTCCAGCCGAGGCCAAGAGCTAGAACTTAAAAAACAAAAACCCTAAAAACCAAAGCTTTAGGGGTTTATTAAAAAGACCTAAAAACAGAGTTTTAGGGTTTATGGGGTCACAGCACGACGCGCCAGAGGATGGAATTCGTGGCCTCACGCTCCTCAAGCAAGGCGCCGAAGCGGTATTTCCATTCTTCAGCTGCAATGGCGGCACAATCTCTCATTCTCCGTGGTTTTTGGCCCGCCAGCGCGTGTTTGAGACCACATTTATGGGGCGGAGAGCTGTCGTCAAGGAGAGGTTCTGCAAGAAGTACAGGCATCCATCGCTGGACACCAAGCTCTCGCAGAAGCGTCTCTACGGGGTGAGTTTACTAGATTGCTTTTGTTCTGGTCATATCTTTAAACGCGCGCTCTATCGTTCTTCGTTTGTTCGTGAAGGAAGCCAGATGCATGACAAAGGCGAGGAAGCTGGGCGTGCGGACGCCGGCATTATTTGCGGTGGATGCCGTGACGCGCTCCATAACTTTCGAGTTTGTGACTGGCTCTTCAGTCAAAGATATACTTTTACAATCCGGCTTTCCCACTCCTGGTACGATCCTCATGTTTTTCCTTTTTCTAGCTGAGGAATTGGTCGCGCAGGTGGCGAGCTGGAGAGAATTGCTGCACAGATTGGTGTCTCCATTGCGCGAATCCACGACGGCGGATTGATACACGGTGATCTTACCACGTCCAACATGTTGATACATTCGGGAGAACTGGTCTGGTTCTTTTTCTTTTTCTCTTCAAAAATCTTGTTGCTCGTACTGATGCGGTAATGGTCTTGGTGATATATTAGGTGATGATTGATTTCGGCCTGAGTTATACGTCGACGTTCCCAGAGGATAAAGCCGTGGATTTGTACGTGTTGGAGCGGGCCTTTCTTTCGTTGCACTCCACCAACGGGGACATGGTAAGCCAGGGCCGATAGTAATTCCTTTTTGACTGAGAACCCGGACACAAAATCGTTGAGTACTCATGATTTTCCATCTTCCCTTCCAGATGGGGCTCGTCCTTGCTGCATATAAGAAGGCCTCAAGGTTTTGGAGCAGCACTTTAAACAAACTAGCACAAGGTACCTGTTCGAGCTTCCGTGACCATCCGGCGTTAAGTTGTTTCTGCCTGTTGCAGTGCAAATGAGGGGACGAAAGCGCGCAATGCTTGGATGATGAATCCAACTTGGCTTGACAAAATCACAGCGTCACGGGCAAAGTCATCCATATGCAGCTCTTAATCTAACTAACAGCAGGACTGTGCTATCATTTCCCACGGAATTTAAATGAAAAAGAGCAAAAGAAGAGAAAGGCTCATGACTTTGCAATTCAATCACGCAAACTACGCACACACAGACACACACGCTCGAATGATCATGCATGCTCACGAGCAGTCAAAGCAAAGAGCTGTGTATCATGAGCCTGTTATGAATGGCAAGCGTAAGTATGAGCTACCTACAAGACACTCACGCATAAACCATGGCTGGATTGGTAGCTTCTTAGGCAGATTCGGGACGCGTACGTAGCTGCGAAAACCAATCTGCAAATCATATCATATCGTTCGTGAGTACCCGAGTTGGTTGTGGATCCGAGAAAGCAAAAGGAAGAACATACGTACGAGGAAGTTCGTCGCTCGTCGGGATAAGTGTCCATCGACAATCATGGTTTGTCCGAATGGTGCCAATGATTTGAATCGACCTCCAACTCGTACGCGAGAAATCTTCTTCCTTTCTGTAAATGGTATCCTTCCCTTTCACAGCCGCATTCACTGCTTAGTTGCGCGCTTTGCTCGCTCGTTTCTTTCGCTTCTCAGCGACATCTCCTTCCTTCCGCTAACTTAAATGTTTGTTTTTCCTCATCCCCGGCTCACCCCTCCGTCGCTGTCTGCGCTGTTGAATCCCACAAACGGGGTTCACCGGACAGCTGTTGGCAATAACTCTGAGAGCCCGGCATTGATTGCAAGAACTTAAAAAGCTTGCCTCTTTACACATCTCTCTCTCTCTCTTTCGGAGCTGCTCTTTCCATCTCGCTCCGCTCGCGATTGAGGCTTACAATCCCTGCGCGTATGAACCTTGGAGACGTACTCAAAATAACTTGACAGCAACCGGCCTTTCCACTGTTGGCGAGTGGACGTCCCTGTTGCACATCAAAACACTGGCAGCAGCGCGATTAAGGAGCGCGCATCCTTGCCCAATCAAGAAAACTTTGCAGCTTCTTAACGGAGCCAGCCTTCACAAGCAACACCACCAATCAAAGGAACCAAGAAAGAACTCACTCATCAACCACGCAAAGAAGGTAATTAAAGTCAAAACGAGATCTCTGACGTACGACAGCAACCCCGTAACAGTCCCCAGCTCTCTCACAGCAAACGTCAACGCCATGCAACAGAATCATCCACACACACACCACTGCAAGTCTGCAAGTGTAGCTACTAAGAGAAATGCAAGACTAGTAAGAAGGAGAAAAGTAGGCTCTCTCACCTCACCCGGAGGCTGGCTGTGTGTTTCCTCCTCGCAGCAGCGCTGATGTTTATGACGAGCATCCGTTACAGTGGGGACCACGAATCGCTCCTGTATGTCCTGCAATAGATGGAATACCGTGGTCCAGATTTGTTATGGCAATAGCTAGCATATCAAACCTGGAATTAGGAAAAACGATGATCTTGAGAGATGATCTTGAGACGGTGACATTAAGTATGGTGCACTCGTCGTTGTCGACGCGCTCGTTCCCTTCACAGTGCAAGAGTTAGCTAGCGAGCGAGCGAGGCACGTCTTCTATCGCTGCATTTACGAGACGAAAGGTAACTTCCGTCCGTTACCTTTGGAGAGCCCGTTTGGACACGAAAACGGAGTCGCTCGAGAGCCGCCGCTGGCCCGCTGCTGAGAGTTTTCAATGTCAACAAAGACAAAGCTCGAGTTTGCATCATGGTTTTCAAAGTTCTCAAGACAAACCTCGGTTTTGTTAAGTAAACCTCCTGGCTGTATGGCCGGCCTGCTGCAGTTTGCGATGTCCCTCCAGACGCGTACATGCATGTACCTCGCACATACTAGATAGTTTTTAGTCCTGCAACTTGGTTTAGACGAGGAAGAAAGATCAATCACTCACTATATAGCAGTGCAACTTTTCTCAGTACTTTGCACAATCGCGAATGAAAGCCAGCCATTTTTCTTGTAACGTCCGAGCTAATCACACCTGTACATGGTACCACAGCCACACCAAACGAAACTCTACGCTTCAAGTCGATCTTAATACCTCTTGATGGATGGTTTTGCGAACAATTTGCGTGATTCTGCAGCCGCGGGACCAGTTAATAAATGGACAAGTGCAATGTTGGCAGCAGCAATTGGAGAGAGCATGTCGCTCAACCTCAAAGCACAAGGTACGGCTTCATGTGCCCTTGGCAGCCTGTTTCAAGGGGGATGTGTGTTGCATCCACCGCCACCGATGGTCACAAACAGCTGACAATGTAAACAATATCGCCACCATACCTTTTTACGGAAGTTGCTATCCGCATTCCAATGCACGCCTGTCAATGCTCTGTGCTCTTTATCCTGGCAACAAGCTTCCACCATATATCAGCCACCACACCACTAGCAGCATTACATACCTTCAATCGCTCTCGTTTCTTCTTCTTGTTTATCTTCTAAACTTTGTTGTGTCCCTCGTAAGTGTTGTTTCGCCCTTAGCCTCACACTGCACTGCAAATTGTTTTACCTCAAATGGCTGATCACGCCCAGTCTGAAACGGCCAACACTTTATAGCTTCTTCCTTCGTTTCCTCACCGCCCCTTGCAAACGCTTTCCTTGTTGTAAGTGTGATCAAGAAAGTCTTGAAGGTTTATGAGAAATACCTGTCCCTTCCCATCTTCCCCGCGGCCGCTAGCTCCAGACTCCGCTTTGTCCCCAAGCGCTGTTCAATGATTTCAGACTTGGGCTGCTCGGCTCACTGAGCAGTCGTCTTCTTGTCATGTACTTCTCTGACTTCCCTCCTGTTTTCCGCCTATAGTTCCCCCTATATATTTATCCCTCCTGCACTTTCACGTTAGCAAGACAAGTTCGTTAGCTCAACAAATGCGAAGAGCGAGAAGGAGATCTCAGGAGAAGGCTGCACACTTGCTGCCAAAGATGCAGCGGTTTTAGCGATGGAATGAGCGACGCGGGCCACACAGGGAAAAGGCACGAGCACCATGCCTTTCTGTACGGGACGATGTTGGCAAGTGCTAAGGTGAAAGAGAAAGAAAGAGAGAAGAGACGAAAGCTAATGTGGGGACAGCAGGGCTAAGAAGAAGCCGAGCTCGAAAAGGAGGGACTGGCTTGCTATAAGGCTCGGCTGGCGGGCTGGCTGGCTGGTTGGCTGGCTGGGTTAAGAGGGAGAAGGGGGACCAAGAGAGTCAGGCGCTTTGTTACCTTCATCCACCGCAAATAATGCTCTCGCCACTGGCCGATGAACAGGCCCCATATGAAGCTTGTTCCTGTTCCTGCTCCTCTTTGTGAAGTGTTTGTCGCAAATCTGTAGATGCTCTCTCTCGAGTGGTTTGGACTTTTATCAGCACAAAGGACCGCCTCCATTCTGATCCTCCCTGTGCCTGCCGCCTCCATGATCCACATATGTATATAAATCCCAGACTGAGCGTAAAGCCTGCCTTCCCCTGTGCCTGTCTTTAGTCGTATCACAGCGATGTTCTGTTGTCATTTACTGTAGCCCCACTTCTACTTCCGCTTCCCGGTTGATGATTTTTGTTTCTTGCTTCTGCTGCCCATCCTTTTTTTCTTCTAACTTTGCCCGTTCTGTTTCCTGCTCTGCATTGACATTCCGATATCGCCTCTAGCTTCCACTCAGCTGCGCATGTATAAATGGCGCTTCGTCCCACCTTTTGCTCCTGTTTGGAGCGAGGATGTCTGGCCATTTTGAGATAAATGAGCCGCAGCGGCTAATCATTGTCTTTAGCTGCCCGCAAAGTTCCATACTGGGAAAACAGTTGGCCGGTCCGGTTACCAATCCCTGTGAGTTCCGCATACTATTTGAGAGAGCTCATTCACCCACCATCCACTGTGTGCGCAGCCATCTTCTCTTATAAGGCTGCACCTCTTTCTCCTTCCTCGAGAACTTCCACAAGCCATGGCGGCGGCGGCTTTCGTTTCCTCCTCGTCTTCGCTCTTCCTCCTGCTCTTGAGCTTCTGCCTCGTAGTCTTGTCTCGGTCGCAGCAGATGAACGCTCAGGAGGAGCCGGTCACAGATCCAGTCGAAGCAGCGGCCGTCTTCCAAGTCTTGCAGGGAATCAACTACGAGATTGATTGGAAGGGGATGTTCCCAGGCGATCCCTGCACCGGAGGCCCCCACGGCATAACCTGCGACATCGACTCCAACAACGTCTACCACGTCGTGGAGCTCAACCTCGGCTGGGTGTCCGACTACGTCAACAATCCTCCATGCAGCTTCAACGCCTCCATCCACCCCGCAATTTTCAGATTCAAGCACCTCAAGAAGCTCTTCTTCTACAAGTGCTTCGTCCACTCGCCTGTGTCCATACCCCCGGAGATAATCCAGCTCAAGGACACGCTCCAGCACCTCACTTTCCAGAACAATCCTTCTCTCGTAGGCACCATCCCCGTGGAACTGGGAAATCTCACCAGCTTGGAGAGGCTCGTCCTTGCGGAGAACAGTCTGGAAGGAGCGATCCCAGCGGAGGTAGGCAACTTGCAAACTCTGAGGCAGCTGGTTCTTAGTCACAATCGTCTCGCTGGTCGCGTCCCTCTAACCATTGGCGGCCTGACGAGTCTCGTCATACTCGACTTGAGTGAGAACAAGCTAACCGGAGAGATCCCGTCTCAGCTGTATTCGCTTGCGGAGCTCCGGAAGATGGACTTGAGTCACAACCGGCTACAGGGTCCAATTGCTGATGATATCTGCAACCTCCAGGCTCTCCAGTTCCTCGACTTGAGCTATAACAATCTCAGCGGCCGTCTTCCGGACAAGTTGGGACAGCTCGCCAGCCTCCAGTATCTGTTTCTCGGAAGCAATCTCATCGGTGCGGAGCTTCCGAACATCTGGGACAGTCTCGGGAACTTAATCGCAGTCGGTCTCTCCAATTCACGCTACGCCGGACCAATACCAGCGTCTATCGGTGCGTTGCAGAAGCTCAATTCCCTGTCTCTCGACGGCAACCAGTTCTCCGGACGGATCCCTTCCAACATCGGCACGCTGCCAAACCTCTACCACATGAATCTCAGCGCAAACTCCTTGTTCGGCCCGGTTCCATTCACTTCGAGTTTAGTCGGAAGGCTTGGACGCAATCTCATCGTCAGGAATAACACAGGACTGTGCTACGAGCACTCGATGGTGAGTGACGTCCCGGATGCCTTGGGATTAGCACCTTGCAGTTCACTTTCGTCCTCGACACAGGGTGGATCTCCAGCCGGTTTGCCTGCTAGCAACAGTGTAGCGAGCTTCTCGTCGGCAGTCTTTCATGTTTTCGCGATCTTGCTCCTACAGATGCAGAGGCTGTGAGGAAATATAAAAATTCACTCCACATATTGCGCGAGTACCTTGCCGACTCCACAAGTTTGGATTCTGCTGTACAGACTATAGGCTCTTGGAGATGAGTTTTTTTCTTTTGTTTTTGTTTCCTGCAAAAGTTGCGAACGTGATTTCCAATCGCATCGCTCAAACTAGTGTTCTGACTAATGACCGTGATTAATAAGACACCTATTTAAGCTAAGGTCCAAAATTCTTACTGCGCTGTCGTACACCTTGCAAAAGATCTTCGCAGATCACATCCCGCTCACATGCCAAGAAAATTCGACAAAGACATGTTAAAGCTTGCCAAACACATGCAATGTGATAAGAATAAAAATACTAAATACCGCGCGGCAGCGAACAAAAGTTGCTTTTGTTGATTCATTTGACATTGCAGCCGCGGCAGCCAGGGTACAAGGTACTTTTACACACAACGGGGAAACTAAGTCTTTCATATATCCTGAAAGAGAAAAGGAAAAATCTACACAATGTTGCAAGGATGTGAACACTTGCCTGGATTTAGAGATGTGTCTGCTCCAATCCTGTCAAAAAGAACAATAAAAAAACGAAGAAATTGATCAATCTCAAGCCTTGTATAGAGTTCAGTTTACCCGACGCTTCTTCAGGAGTCTCCATCCTGATTTGCTCAATGACGTGCTCCTGATATTTAACTTCATCCCACACAGCTTTGTAGACCATCTTCTGGCGATCTATCTTCGATTTTCCCTGGAACACCGATGCGACGACGCTGATGCTGTCAGAAAGAAAAGAACGAACAGGAAAATGTAAACAACAAGATTCCACGGGAAATTAACGAAATCCGCACCTCAGATACTCTCCATCGCCATACGCATCCTTGACCACAACATTGTCTGCTCCAAGCTTTTCCCGGATCTGAAGACACAAGCACCGCCGAGAAAACTCACAAAATGCCAGAAATATGATCGATCGAGAGCAATGCAGCACCTTGCGCTCCATCACCGAGGCGACCGGATGCCGCAATCGCTTAGGCGGCAAGGGAGAGCACCGCACAGAGCTGGGGCTCCAAGACGCCATCGCCATTGATACAAGTAAGCCAAAACCCTAGTAGGTAAATTCTGCCATAAACGCTTTGAAATTTCACTTCACTTATTTTAAAATGAAAAAAGTAATGGATTTTTTTTAGATATAGAATATAACATGTAACCTAAAGACAAAATATATCATTTTTCTTATTTTGATCATCACATATTTTTAAATTAAGTGCATATCCTCAATTGTAAATGCCATTGAAAGTTTTTGTTTTACTATTACTACTAAAGGGTTTATATATTCCCTTGAGAGTGTAGATTTTTCCATTGATTTTCCTGTTTTAAATGTTGAATTGTATGTTGAAGAAGTTGAGCAATGTGAATTTATTATTTATTTCATGCTAACCAAAGTATTTTATCATAGCAAATTTTTTATTCTCCAAGCTTTGAACATGTTTTTTATTTTTCTCCCCATTTTTATTTTGATAATTATTCAAAATTCCTCTTCCAATGCTCCTTTGTCTTTTTTCTTACTTTCTCCTTTTTTCCTTTTATATTTTAAACTTTTTTTTTTTCGAAGGAGAAGATAAAAGGAACAAACAAGAGTTTAACCTTGACAATGGAGTGAGGATGAATATAGTGAGTTTAAATGAAAATTTTTACCCCAATATAGTGAAGCTGAACAAATGCAATAATGGAGTGAAGTTGAATATAGATATTAGATAAATCTGAATGAAGCTAATGTTTCAAAACTTTTTTTTCCTTTAAGAGATATAAAGAACATGAAGGACAAATGGAGTGAGTTTGATGTTTTATATATAGTGTTAGGCAAAGACAAAAGTTATAAGTCTGAGTTAATATAGATTTTAGATATTAACTAATGAAAAAATGTAAAGGTAAGTTTTATTTATAGTTGTGAGTCCAAATTAATAGTGTTCTTGGAAAATTATCGATAGGTAAATTTAAACATGGGATGTATGTTCTCGAAGTCTTTTACTTTGCTTCAAAGTTATGGCTTTAAAGTTGGTTTTAACATTTGACAACTGCATATGGAGTTGCAATTAATTCATCAGGATTCTGTAATCAATTGATATTTATACCATGGCTTTAGGTTTTGTTTCAGTCATAGTTGTTAACAACTTTATTAGTGGTTTTAAGGGAACTGTAGATTCTTATGGTAATTTAAAATTGCCTAATAAAAGCTCTAAATGTTCCACTGGACTTATTATCATCACTTTTTCATTTTTTAAAGGTGATAAGGTTTGTAAATATATATATGAATATACATATATTACCTTAGTTAAGTATACACTAATTATAGTACTATAGCATATGGATTGTCCATTTAAGAATAAATCTAGTCCATCCATTATTGTATATAAGTAAGGGTCTAAACCTCAACTAATATACTTATTCCTAAATCCCAAGTAATTAAATAAATAAGATATTTGATGTATTATTAAAGATTAAGTTCTTAAATGTAATTAGATCATCTTAAAATGAAAATATAACTTTATACACCTTAAAAATTATATAAAATAAATTTATTGATAATGTTATGCTTGTAATTGATTGTTGATCCTTAGATATGACAATCAAAATGTGATGGCATGTTTTGGGGTGGGTGGTGTGGTAGAGAATTTTATTATACTAGAACTAAATCAACTAAAATGCATGCATGTTTGATTTATTTAAATACATATGTAATAATCTTTGAACACAACTTACAACATTGACATAGTTTTGTACATTAGTATGATATATGATTTTTAATATCAACTTAATTGCCACGTTAGAAAGTTTAGGGTTTAACACTTTTTGTACTAAGTGTGTGAATCAAATATATGAGATCACTCATTGTTTTAGATTAACTTAAAACTTGATGAGTCAATGCACAAACTCTTTACATTTTCCTAAAGTTCCAACCCCTAAAACTTGGTAGCTAACAAAGAATATGATAGTGGACATTTAGAGAATTTTGCTAGTAAATCTCTTATGTTGGTTGAGTTGGGCATGGTGTTCATTATTGATAAAGCAACCTAAAACTTTAATCCAAATATAGAAGTGCTTTGATTATGCCATATCTATGTCAAGAAAAGCAACCATAGTGTGCTTTTGGGCTATAATTGTGCAGGAAGAATGCATGAGGCATGCCAGGGTGATAGTTTGGAAGTCTTGGGAGTTTTTTTTTTAAGATATGAACATGAACTTTAATACTTAGCTAAAGAGTTCACAACATAAGTCATTACACAAGCTAGCATTCCAAGGAAAGATGAACATAATAAAGCTTTTGCTAGACAAAACAAAACTTATTAGTGACTACATGAATACTCTAGCACTCTTGAGAAGTCACTTGCTAGAGTTTAAGTTTTGTAGAGCCTCTAAGTTTTACTTTCTCAAGCAAGAAAATATATACAACTAAGAGGAGGTGTTTTGAATAATGGTTTTTTTTCTGCTATAAAGATGGTGGTTTCTTGGAGGACAAGTTGTGAAGGTGATTGTGGGAGTAAGGAAATGGTTGCATATGCAATGAGATGATTAATCAAAGTGGTTATGAGTAGATTTTTGGGGTTGATGTGGAGTAGAAGTTATGGAATTTCTTAGAGCAATAGAAAACTCAAGAGATGTTGAGGATAGTGACTAACAACTAAAAGATTAAGGGGATAAAATATGAGTATCCATGAAATTGTAAGTTAAAAAAAGTTAAAACTTCCAGACTCAATGTCATTAATTTTCTTTATAAATTCTCTAGAGAATTTGGAATGGTGGGAGTGACTTACAGTGGGAAAAGTATTAGTAATGAATATAGATTATGAGTGATTTGTAATACTAATTATAATTTGATATAACATCTAGCAAGTGAAAATTCTATCATATGGATGAAAAATTTGAGTAGAGGCCTCCTTACTTTACCATGAATTGAAGGCAAGCACAATTGCAAAGGTTGAAAGATATTCAAATGGAAAGAAAGACTAGACTTGGTAGTGTTGAAAATACTAAACTTTCAAATAGTGTTTAGTATAGATTTTTTCAACAAGTAGTTTTATATGTGAAAGACTTATCCTTGAGATTTCTTACATTTTTTATACATCTACCTAGATTGAGAATATATTTGTCAAAGAAAAGAAATATAATAAGCACAAGATGAAGTTAATTGAATCTATAAGAGACTTCCAACTTTTTTACTTCAAGAAATCAAAAATATCATTATACAAATATTCTTTTAGGGATACGTTATATTTGTTAGTGCAACTATACATGAGTTAGCTGATGAAAAAAATAAAATAAAATTTGGGTGAAAAAATGATAGATACAAGCTTTTAGGTAAAAACATTTACTGGAATCTATCTTGATGAATAGATAATGATTGAAGATAAAAGCATATATAAATCAATAATTTTTAAACTTATTTCAACAACATTGAAAATAACAACATTTTGAATACAATCATTACCTAACTTAAAATATAACTATTGATTGGAAAGTATGGACTTTTATAGTGAGGATATGAAAAATTAAACACATTACAATTAAAGATAAGTTATAAACATTTTTTAAAATTTACTATGATAAGGACTCATAAAGGAGTATGCACTTATATTTGATTCTAAAATTGGCAAGTAGTGGATCGTGATTCAATATAAATACCAATACATAAGATTGTGTTAATTTATACTATATAATTATATAACTATACATAATTTCCTTTACAAGAACATCATATTTCAAATACTAAAAGATGAACTCAAGAAAAACAAATTTAAAACAAAAAACTCAAGAAAGTAGATATAAGAAAAGAACACTTAAACTCAAGGAAAAATCTTTAATAACATCATCAACAACTACAACAAAACAAATTAAACTATATAAGTTGGTGAATTATGTCAAAATAATATAGAAAAAATCAAAGACTCAATAAAATAAAAATAGAAGATTTAGAATAAGACTTAACATCACTAAAGACTTAAGATTACACCAATAATTTTAAATCATATACAACTACCAAAAAAATAAGTTTAAACTAAAGGTAAAGAATGGCTTTTATCAACTCAAAACACTATATAACAATATAATCACTTATCTGATTTTCACTGGCAGAAAAACTAAAAGTGCCAAGAAACATCTCTAAAAATTTAACTTGATCATTAAAGTTAATTAGTAACAAGATAATAATAAACCTTATTTCTATTCA